ACCCTGCCGCTCCAGGGCCGGTCCCCTGGCAGCCGCGCTGTTGGTTTTGGTGTTGGCAGCGCCGGCCGCGCCGTCGCCGTGTCCGGGTAGGCGGCTGCGCCGGCTGTGAGCAGCCGCCGCCAGCGTCGCTCCAGCGCGCCGGGGCCGCCCGGACGCCGGCCGCAGCTCGGGCGCTCTGTAACGAGCCTGGCACGGGGCGGCGTACGGGTAGATGTCTCGGTGCGGCTGTGTTGTCCTCGTTACCGGCGTTCCCTGATCGGAAGTCGGCTATTTCTGCGGGAGGCTATGCGCGTCTGAATTGCCGACACGTCGCACATATCTGCTGTCGGTAACATCTTTGTATGCACAGACAAATTAAACGAATTGAAACCAAATAATTAAACTCAGCTTTGCCTTCGTTGGGCTGGGACTTACCTTCCAGTTGACTGCGGTGCGTTTGTGCCTCGTTTGTTTTAGCGGCGCAGCGCTCTAAAGTCATTTCGTTGAAGAGGGTTAGGGTCAGAGTAAATGAGTTGTTAATTACATCCAGGCTGAGTGCTCCTGGCTTAGACATTTTTCTGCCTGTCTGGAACGGTAACCCACCTGCTGGCAGCACAGCCGAGCCTCTGGGAGCAATTTCTGGCCATTGTTCTGGTTGGTTACTTCTCCTTTATTGTCTAACTAGCGGTCATCTGCGGCGAAACATTTGTCAGCCGGTCTGCCACCGGCCCGGGCTCGGGCCCGTGGCGGTCCCGACTTACCGCTCCCCACGTGTCCATGTGTACGGCAGGGGCTCGTTCAAGGGCGCGGGTGCCCGTTAGGCCGAGTTTAAGTGCCAACACCCGCTGAATTTTCCGTTTTTGTTTTGTTTTTTGCTCTGTTCTTAAGAAAGTCATGATTTATTCAGTCTGTTGACCGGAATTAAAGACCGTCTTCTAAATCTGACCACTGGTTAGAGTAGAAGTGTGGGGAAGCCGTGTTGGCACCATTCCGTTTATTTTGGTACCCGTTGCTCTTATCGAAGGTTATTGGTATCAAGGATGGATGTTCAATTGCACCTTGCTTTTCCTACCATAAATAAAGGATACTGTCATATCAACACACACACACACACACACACACACACACACACACACACACACACACCACACACACACACACACACACACACACACACACACACACACACACACACACACACACACACACACACACACACACACACACACACACACACACACACACACACAACACAACACACACACACCACACACCACACACACACACCACACACACCACACCACACACACACACACACACACACACACACACACACACACACACACACACACACAACACACACACACACACACACACACACTACACACACACACACACACACACACACACACACACACACACACACACACACACACACACGCATCACACACACATCACATCATCTATCTAGATATCTATCTAAATATCTATCTATCTATCTATCTATCTATCTATATAGATAGATAGATAGATAGATAGATAGATAGATAGATAGATAGATAGATAGATAGATAGATATATCATATCTATCATCTATCTATCATATAGATCTATCTATCTATCTATCTATCTATCTATCTATCTATCTATCTATCTATCTATCTATCTATCTATCTATCTATCTATCTATCTATCGATCTATCTTATTCATCTATAAACGGTGTATTTGTACTCCAGGCCGTACTGGCCCGCGCCCAGGCCTCATCACCGCGTCGGAGTCGAAAGCCTTGCCCCTCCGTGCCGGGGACCGCAGCTCCACCCTGACCAGGGGGTGGCCGCCCGGCGCGCGGCGGCCGGCCGGCCCGCGCCGCCCGCGACGCCGTAATTGAACCGATGACGGATACTGGCTGTCGCGGCTGGCTGGCGTCGTAATCGGGCCGCTCCGGCCGCCAGAGTGGCCCGGCCCGGCCCGGCCGGCCACCGGGTCAATGACTGCACGCCCAGCCCCGCCGACCGACCGGCCCAGCCGCCCGGCCCCGCTATTTTCCATTGTTCCGCCGGCCGACCGACCGATCTCCGTCGCTCATCCGCCTTTGTATTCTCTTCCGGCTGCTCAATATTGTGGTGTCCTTGCTGTCATCTCTCTGCTGTGCCTTGCGCCTCACCCCTATCAGTGTATTATACACGGTTATGCTACAAAGCCATGATGCATTTGTAGCCCCGACGGTTTGCCTTCTCTTCCGTCTCCGGCACTCTCCCTGTTTCCCAGGGTCAGTGTACGGGACCCGACCATGTCCTGTGACCCGTTCCCCGGACACGGCGGCCGGCAGGCGCTCGCTGCGGGGACAGACTGCTGCGAGCGGTCCAGCCCGCCGACTCCTTGCAAAGCCAATACTCTGCGATTCAGCGCGAGTGAGCGTGCTCCGGTGCCAGGGCTCGACAGAGAGCGACGCCAACGTGGATAGCATTGCGAACGTCATGAAGTGATGGACAGACCCACGGCCAGCGGTACGCTGAGTGGTGTAGCTGCTCCAGCCGCCGCCGGTGTCGCGCCTGCTGCTGAGCGGTGTAGCTGCCCCAGCCGCTGCCGGTACCGCGCCTGATGCTGAGCGGCGTAGCTGCTCCCCCAGCCGCCGCTGGTACCGCGCCTGCAGCTGAGCGGTGTAGCTGCCCCAGCCGCCGCCGGTGCTCCCGCCTGCTGCTGAGCGGTCGTAACTGCCCCAGCCGCTGCCGGTACCGCGCCTGATGCTGAGCGGCGTAGCTGTTCCCCAGCCGCCGCTGGTACCGCGCCTGCCGCCCGCCCTGGTCCAGCCATGGTCTGTGACCCTGATCTGGGCCGGCCGTCTCTCCGCTATAACAGCGTGCTCTGGTGCAGGCGCTGGCCGACCGGCCGAGACAAAGGGGTCACGGAGGTCAGCCGGCGCTCGGCGGAAGGTCGGCCGGTGAGCGGCGCCGCCCGGCCGCTGCCGCGCCGCGCCGCGCAGCGCCAACAAACAACATGGCGCGCCGCCGCCGTCCCGGTGGCAGACGGTGTTAGTCCTCGCCCACGTGTGCGTGTAAATATACAGGGCTCGTCGATCGCTGTTGCCGAGATGTGCGCGCCTCGTTCCGCTCTTGTTGGTGACGATTTCCTTTGTCGTCCTTGTTTTCTTTTTATCGCGGGTTTTCTTTCGTGATCCACGTATTAATGTATTCTTAGGCGAGCGCCTCTTTTTGCCTCAGCCCGGTTTTTATCCAGCCCTCATCCGCTCTGCACCATTGGAGATGGGAGCCGGGAGAGTGGACCACTGCGTGACGGGGCCACCGACCTCTGCTGGCCAATGGATTCTAGGTCATCCAACTGGGCCGAATCATGCATTTAATCCCCAGAAACCTCTCCCTGAGTCCTTCTAACTGGGCACGCGTGAGATATGTAAGTACTCCGCAGGATATCTCGTTCACGGGCTAGCTAATCAGTTAGCCGATGGCGGCTGCCACGAGAGTTGAGCTGATATAAATCTTCTTCGGAAGTGGGCCCAAGTCCGTGGTCGTCCGGATCCCTTGTTATCACGCATTTACAATCGTGGCCATATGACAGCCGTCTCCGCTACGCACATGCCAGCGTAATCATAGGTAACAGTACGAAAGGAAGGCTTTTGTTCTGCAGGTCGAAGTCATTGCTGTAGTTTGTGAAACCTTCATTGGTGCGACTTGTCTCGTTGAGTGATATCTGGGCCTTGTCGTTTGACGTCACTATTGGAACCCAAGGTTCGAGTATGCGTCGTTTGTTAGGCAGAGGCGTGCGCTCTGTAACTGCGTCTTGTACTTTTCCATTGCTCAAAACCTTTCAGCACTGCCAGCTCTCCCCTACTTGTTGCCATACTTCCTGTCGTTTTTACCGTTGTCAGATCTCCAGAAACGTGTTTGAAAGCCTACACATGTCGAATTACCGTGATTTCGTTTGGTTGGATTAGGCTGGCCGTATTTGAACGTTTCAGACCTTATGGACTGAGGAGAGAGGTAATAGCTGGAGAAAGACTGCAGCCGTCCAGGATTATCGTCGCCTCCTAGCCGTACCCGGCGGAGGGATGACACGTGGAGTTATCTGCCGGAGCTTGGGCGGGATTCCCAGCCGCGGCAGAGGCGGGGCAGCCCGGGCCTGATGGTCGTAGCACGCTCTCTGCCCAGTGAAGCATCGCGAGAATACAGAATAAGGCGTGCACGGGGGATACCGGATACAGCTGATACTGGGGAAGTGGCCCGGATGGGTGCAATATGCGGGGCACGTCACGGTCAACCAGAAGTTGTCGGAGATCACCGCTATCTGCCCACTGCTGACGTGGTGGAGCGGTCCTGCGTCACGCGGCTCGTGTGTTCGCCGCGGCTGGCCGCTGCGTCGCCAAATTAGTAGAGGCAATGGTCGGCCTCCGGCGCCTACGTCATGTAAGCATCCTTCGAGCCTGCCTCCCGCTCCCCGCCTGCTCATCCTCCGTTCACGATAGTTCGCTGTCCGCCTTCATCCTCGTGTCACGCGGCGGCTCTCATTGGTGCTAGCGGTGTGTCAGAGCTGGCGAACCGGCAGCTGCTGTGTGAAACCCGGCCGCGGCCGAGCGGCCATGTGACGGGCGCACGCGGGACAACAACCCTGCATGTGTCAGGCCGACCGTGGGGCCCTTCCCACTGCTGTCGGGGCCTGCCAACCGCTGTCGGGCCCTGCCTACCGCTGTCGGGCCCTACCCACCGTTGTCGAGCTCTTCCCAGGGCTGTCGGGTCCTCCCTCGTTGCCGGGCTCTTCCCAGGGCTGTCGGGCCCCTCCCTCGTTGTCGGGCTTCGATCCCGGTCGTGTCAGCTGTGTGAGGCTCTACTGTCCCGCCCAATATCCCTCTGCTGGATGGTCGGCTTGGACTGCCTGCGTCACCCGCCGTGTGACTGCAGAGGCACGTGCGTGGGCTCGGGCAGTGGACTTGGGACGGCTGATGTCGACCACACGCCCGTTTGACTGACTGTGTGACTCCGTCTGACGCGTGTGACATCGCCCGCAGGTGAAGCCGAATGATCGCCAGATCTCCAACATCTTGGGCGAGTTCGATCAGGTGGCGCCCATCATGCGCTCCGAGCGCACGCTCAACAGCCTGGTGGGCGCCTACGCTATGCCCTGTACGCCGGCGCCCGTCCACCAGGACCACGACCACCTGTTCGGGGCGCCGCCGCCGTCACCGGCGCCGACGCTGCCGCCCCCGCCGCCGCCGCCACCGCCGCCACCGCCGCCGCCGGCGCGGTACGACAGGCGGCCGCCGGCGGCGGCGGCGCCGCTGCCGCCGCCGGCGTCGCAGCCGGCGCCGCGGCCGACGCGCCTCGGTCCGCGCCTGGACAAGGTCAGTGGGTCGGCACGTCGTCGCCCCCTGCGTCGCCGGCACGAGAGGGGGGGGAGGCGGGTCGGCAGCGTAGTCGGCCAGGCGGCTGCTAGTCATCTGCCGTGGCGTGTGTACATACACGCTGCGTAGTGCGCGGCGCGTCCAGCTTCTCGGACCTGTCCGAGATCCAGCGGCGCAGTTGCAGATTAACTCGGAACGAACACTAATCAAACACACTGCAAAACTGGACGAAAACTGGGACCTCCACGTATCTGAGTTACCTGATATTGTCAGTTAATGGGCTGGTCTCAAAGTCCGGTGACCGTTGGGTAGGGCAGGGTTTGAAGGTTCCATACCCAGAACATTGTACGGGGTAAGATATGGACAGGCTTGTCGGGAATGCTCGCTGCTTCCGACAGATTGGAACACGTTTGCCTGGCGGTCTGGGCTGCATGCGTGCCCCGGATTTTCCCTGGCCGATAAAGAGCGTGGAGTCTTTCGGGACGATTGAGACCAGGTGTTAGCAGTGTGAATGGAATCATTGTTCGTATTCAGGTGGGGCTAGCGGGTATGTACAGAAAGTTTGGACCGATCAGATCCCTGCACGCTGTCAAATGTTATGAGTTTTAAGAAGCTCTGTGGAGTGTGCGCGTAGCAACTCGAGTTTTCTCCTCGGAATCTTTGGAATTCCAATCACATCTCAGGTTTCCTACAGGCCCCGGCTTTCAGAAGACCTCTTTCGAATCACAGCAATTCCGAGAAGAAAAGTCATGTTGTGACGCACACATCCTGGACTCCAAACACCATTTAGAGCTTCTCACAATTCAGTTACACCTGGCGACGACCGGGAAACTAACTGGCTGACACACGGTGTGCATACGAACTCACCAGATGAGGACGGTACAGTTACCCCAACCGGAAGGGCATTTGTTGAGTGCCGCTCGTGGCAGGCAGTTAGTGGGTGTCCGTCGGCTTTGCACACGCCCGCGCAGAGCGACCCAAAAGTGCGGAGCGTCACTGAAGCCTGTCATTTGCTGTAAGTGGCTCGGAGATGGCCCAAATGGTCGAAATGCCACACGGCGAGAACAGCCTCGGCCGGCCGCATGCCTGCGTCGCGGCTCTATGCGATGCGTATGCCCGCGGGCCCGACCGTCGCGGGGGGGGGGAGGGGGCAGGGTGAGACCGGACGGAACGGAACGGAGCTGGACGGCGCGTGAGTGTTTCGGCGTCCCAAGAGCTCACGCTGCTATGTGATCTGCGCTGCTAATAAAGGGATGCAACCAGGCACTAAGATGGCCCCGCTTGCCGGAATCGACTGTGCTGAAGTTTGGTGGGTCGGGGGCCCATGGTATGCCCGCCTTTTGGCTGTTGCGGCGGCCTGGAAAATGGACTCGCAGCCAGCGAAGTAAGCCCAGAGCGACGTGTGGCGCTGCGCCGTGTTGTTGCAATCATTGCTGATCACGACTGAGGCTGGTGACGGATGACTCTGACACTCACCTGCGGTGATTTCGAATTGAATTTGCCTCGAATGGATTCAAAATTTGATTGCATTGAAATTCGAATGAATTTCAATTCTAAAGAAGTTGTCCGGACTCCTGAGAGACAGCTACATGGCCGATAGCCGACGCTATTGATAATCGTGTTATATCAACTTATAGAAAACCGAATGTTATTTGGGTGTTGACCATGCCATGCTGAGTAAAAGGCTAAGAAAGGTTTAAATACAGTACACCTGTGAATACTCTGTGCACGGTATTTGATCTTTGTCCTGGTCTGGCCTGGTTATGGACATACTATTCAATGGTGAAACAGGGAATATGCCGCCAAGGCCAGAAGGGAAGCCGAGCAGCGAATACCTCGGTTGTAACTTCCCGTCCGTGCCACAATAACGAACAGAACTGGAATGTGCCAGAAATGAAAAGTTTCTTATGAGGACAATTTGTTGGGCCGTTCTGGAAGATCATCGCAGTAAGGCTATTTCAGTTCCTCTACCTCCGCGCATATCATCCTTCACACAATCCGGCCGGACCTGACAATAGCCACGTCATGAATCCCAGTCGCCGCAGACAGCCATCCTACAGCGCCCACTTTACAGCCGCCCCGCCGGGCACGGCAGTCTGTGATGCGGCCCAGCCCTGAAGAGCCTGCCAAATGCTTTACATCTGGTTAGATTTAACCGCGCCCGGATCATTTGTCATCCTCATGCTTTCCGCTCCATCTGCCCGCACCGTTTCACCGGCGTCGAATCGATGCCGAACAGCGGCAGCGGCGGCGGCAGCGGCGGCGGCGCGGGCTCTCTTCGCGCCGCGTCGACCGCCGCCGGAGGTGATACGGCCGGACGGCGGCGGTCACGTGACGCCGGTCGAGTGCCCCGCGGCAGTTCAGCGACGGCGACGCTGATTGGCCGACGGTGCGGGCTGACCTCTGGGGACCCGTGATTGGCTGTTGGCCGCCGCCGTTGACCGCTTCCGGCTGGAAATGAACTGCGGATTCGCGTCGATGGTGGCCGCCGTTTCGCTGCGTTGGCGGCTGGGAGGCGCCACCTCCGAGAACTGCGGTGTAAACGCGAAGTTAGAAACACTAATTTTAGGCAGCGACATCCGGAGCCCAATGATTCGAAGCGTTGAAGTTGTAATATGCAGCGGGGGTTTTACGGAAAGTTTGTCGACTGCATGTCTGTTTTTGGGTGCTTGGACTGGGGAAGTGGCTTGGTGTAGATGTGCATAGAATAGGCTATGGTTTCCACGAATGGTTTAATGTTTTCTTTTCTGCCTGCCGGCGCTTGCCTGTCACTTAATAGGATGGCCTTTGGCATTTCCGTTCTAAACCGCGCAGGAAGCCATTTCACTGTCACGACCCATCACGTTTTCCGATGGATTAAGTTAATTTTGAGTAGGATAACTACCTCAGGGAAGTAACTACGCTTGTATGTTACAGTATTTTTTAATTTTGGTGTCATTTTGTGTGGTCGTAACTTTAAAATCAACAATGAACCGATACTTTTCTTTGGTCCGGTCTGCACGCACCACGATGGTGATACGTCGGTACTCCCTTCGAGAGGTAATGCTCGCTGCCACGTAAGCTCAAAGCGGACCGTCATCATTTCCACGACTCCTGAAAACGGCACCTAACCACACAAGCAGCAGTGAATTCCGCGCGTCGATTTCATTGAATTTCGACCCAGATTGTGTCTAATCAGCCGGCTGCATGCGGCGCTGTCGGCCGTGAGCTGTCGGTCAGCTGCGCGGAGCGGCGGCTTCAGCTACGCGGACCGGCTCCGAGGCGGCCGTCCTCCGGAGGCCCGACCGGAGCTCCGGCTATCTTACTCGGAAGCGCCGCTCTCGCCCGGCACGTGTCTGTTACAGCCGCCGCTCCCTGCCAGAGGCGTATCCAGGAGAGGTCACGGGGCGCCCGTGACCTCCCCTGGACACCTCGCTTGTCTTCTGCCATCATCAAGCCCTTACTACGGCGTCAACTCGCATCCGTCGCCAGAGGCGGATTCAGTCCTAATCCCGGGGAGGACTGGCGCACCCCCGCTGTGACTGCCTGGGGTCGCGCCTGGCTTGGTCCGCCTGACGACGGCCGGCCGCGCTCGGTGCTGGGCGGTGCGCCTGTTTGTTTACGGCGCCTGATTAATGCGCCTGCCCGGCCGGCCGCTGCGGCCGCCTCTCCGAACGCGGCGCGATCGGCTCCCTGCCAGCCGCCGCCGAGCCGCGCCAGGTCGGCCGAGCTGCCCACCACGGTCGGCGTCGCACCCGGCCCGCGCGGACAGACACGAAGCTTGATTGTTTCACGACGCGCCACGGCTAGACGATCGCGATGCGCCACAGCGGTGCCGTCGCGGAGAACCAAAATCGCATGGGAGTGGGCCTAAAACCCTGGACCTTGTAGTAAACAGGCCAGCATCGGCGCTTGTTTTCGGCGTATCATATCAGAGCGCTGTCCCGTAAAAGACGACGCTCTTCACCGGCCAAGTAACGTTAGGTAATAATCACAGGGCGACAGCGGGCGGCCGTCATACGCCACGGTCAGAAATATTGCTGTGTTTCTGCCCCGTTTGTTGACGATCGCTGCCAGCTGGTCGGCCGGCGGGCTTAGGGCGCTGCCTGGCTCACCAGCTCTCGCGGTATCACGGTTGTGGCGAGGGGTCGCCTGACGGCCGAGACGGGACATCGCAGCATTTTGACGGGACGGGGCCATGGCGAGGGGTCGCCTGACGGCCGAGACGGGACATCGCAGCATTTTGACGGGACGGGGCCGTACCGAGGGGTCGCCTGACGGCCGAGACGGGACATCGCAGCATTTTGACGGGACGGGGCCATGCGCATCACTCGATTAAACCCACCACATCCGTTTTCCCCGTCGACTGATGCTCAAGCTATTTTATGATATTTGCGTTACGTTACTCGCAGTGTCCGATAGCGCAAGCAGTGTGTTTCGGTGTAGTGATACGTGACCACAATCTCGGCTCGGTGCGTCACCGGGTCTGCTCACGGTGTGATGCAGGACCATTATCCGGTGGAGTGGTGCCTCCCCCCCCCCTCACTCCTGTGGTTACCGGGAACGCTGGCCGCCAATGTCGGCGTCTCCTTTGATGATAGTCGTGGTTTGATGTCGGCTTGCTCGAGCTCATTCTCCGAGAGTCGTCGTGGCATTCAGCTTTATACCAGTCCTCCTCTGCTCTGTTTTGACATGAATTGCTATTAAATGGCTTACGTACTGCTGCTAGCTACTTCTACATTATTAACATAATTTTTGCTATTTAGCTCCCCCGCTAGCATATTGTGCCTGCCCAAGATATGATAATGTAAATGTTACGACACTGCAAAGCAATTTCTTTACAACCAGCGAATCAAAACAGACATGCTTAATACACCGGTCTGGTTGACACAAACTGTCAACGCGACCCGTCTGCCGCTTTGCGGGAGCACTGCTCCGTTACATTACGGTCCCAATGTGCATTCTGTATGCGCATGGCGTCATCTATCTGGCGCGCCTGCTTTATCCGCTTCGCCCCAGTA